AGGAAGTGTCTGGAGAGAGGGAGGTCTGGGCATCTTTGCTTAGTCTGCTGCCCCCGTGATAAGCGGAGGAAAATAGATGGATGGATGGATTTTTTTTTTAACACTCAGTGGGATTTTGAAGGAGATTTTCCTTCTTCCAGAATACAACCTGGAGGTTCTGGCTTCACTTCGGCTCTCTATTGATAAATATTTTACAGATGCGTAAAGGGCAGAGACAGGTTCTGTCTCAGTGCTCCCTGTGTTCATTTTTTTCTTTGCTGTCTCCTAACTGACCTCTGTGCTGTTTGTTTTGCCTGGTCTTTCCCCCACAGGTTCCAGTGGCCTCATTTGCCCAAATGCTCCAAGTTAGTTTCCAGTCCTCTTGTGTTTTACTAATGTTTTCTCACATTTTGTTGTTTTATACAACAGCCATTTGAACTGGAGACCTCTTATTTAACCTCATCTTCTCATCTCATTGCTGCCCATGTCAGCCATTTACACCAAAGGTTATCATCAAAACTAAGCAATGAAATGGAATACGGTAGAAAGACAACTACTAATTAAAGTTACATAAAGAAATATGAGTATATGCCCCAAACACATGTATGATACCTTTTCTCTCATCTATTGTTTTATGGGATTACTTTAATCAATCAGCATGCTCACTGATGCTCACATCACCATTGTGGTTATAGCATGCTGCTGAAGGGCTTCAGAGTCAGACATCATCCTTCTGCACAGCACACAGCACCCTTACTGTCACCAAAAATCACTGTGACAAGTTAGTCTTCAACATGCTTCTGCATTCTGGTTACATAGACCAATTCGTGTCTGTGTTTGATGGACAATACTTAATGCTGCCCCTCTCACTGTAGGGATGAGGGAACATCCTCCCATTGCTGTCTGTGACCTGGCAGACCACATAGAGAGACTCAAGGCCAATGACAATCTGCGCTTCTCTCAGGAATATGAGGTAACACGCTTTCTGCACTTATACTTGGCTTTTAAGGGAAGTAACACACCAATTATCTGATTTCCCCATTCACCGCAATGCCTAATTTTTGCTGTACTGTGAAAACTCAATAGATTATTTGAAATCTGTGAGTACAATGTATTACTTAATGTTTTCACACATGAACTCCGGACAGTGTCTGCAGAATCAGGTCCGGACTCTGTCCAGAGTTGCCCTTTCACACATGTAGCACATGATACACAGTTTCGTAGCCAGTTTTTTTGTATCCCACCAGTCAGAACAACACAACACACCTGGCTGGCTGATTACTCTGGACTATATGCTGGTGTTTTCTCACACGGGTTCACTTGAATTCCATGCAGACTTTGTACTAGTGAGCTGGCAGGGTAAAGTCCTCTTAATGTCTTGGGCAACTGACCCAGACATTTTCATTCTCACATACAGCTACTCCGGGCAATGTCTAGATAATTTCAGGGTTCCAGTGCATGTCTGAAAAGGGCTTAAGAAAGAGTACAAGTAGTGGCTGAAGTAATTGTTGGAGTTGTTTTAATTTAGATCAGAGAAATCCTGAGACCTAGAGTTGCACAAATAAACTGTTTTGAAACAATGTAATTTGATAAGTTAAAGTTAAGTCAGCATATGCATTATGCAACTTCTGAAATGGCCTATTTTAAATAAAGTGTCTCATTTAGTAACAAATCACAGCTGAAGACACTAAATTATGAAGAGTCACTCAGTTTTGTTAAAGCAATGAACTGCATTGGTTTGTTGCTATAACTCAATAAATAAATGTTGATTCTAGTGTTCTAACTTTGTAATCCTTTTTTATACAAATAAGCTGGCATTTTTACAGCATGCATACTTAGAACAAACATGAGTGTGTTGTAGTGTTAATAAATTAGCCAGATAAGTCAGATAGAGATCAGAGTCTTGTGTGATCAAAATTCACATTTCAAATCATGAAGACACACACTCCATCCAGGAACTACATGTTATATCGATGTAACTCCTTTCAGCTGCAAGCCGCACATGTACCACCACTGAGACTGGCTTGAATGTGGTTGATAAAGTAGAAGCAACAATTGCATGCTCTTAAGGGAGTATGACTCTGTTTTACTATTTACAAAATTAATTCACTCTGGGGTTGTTGCTCTGGCTAGCTTAGCTGTAGCTTAGGATGGGTCCAAAGTGAAACTTAAAAGGCATTTTCAATGGAGCTGTCCTGACTGAACCTGAGTGCTCCATCAAAACAAGCACAGGTTCAGCTTAACTTCTCTTGGCGGACAATAAAAGCCTCATTTTCATTTTGCTCTGTCATTATAGGCTGCAATATATAATCACAAAATAAATGAAGTGGCATGCAGACCTCCATACATCATTTTGGACATTTATAGTTATTAACATCGATTCAGACTAAAATTTAGAAAATATCTGTGTAATATAGCATTACTGTTTCTTCAAACAATCATGACATGCACTCTATCGTATTCCGAGTAGCAGAAATCATCAGGCGACGCCCTACATCTTGTTATAGGCTGTCCATATCATAGTTTATTGTTTACCTACCCATGCCTTCTGTCAAGGTAAACACCTCGACTGTGAAACTGTCCTCTAAAAACCAAAGTTGATCAATAATTTAATGTGGGTGAGCAGCTCCTTAGTCTGGGGTGAGGCATGTTTCATTTGAGCTTTTAGAGTTTGAGGGGTTTTTTTGTTTTTGTATTTTTTCCCCTTTAAATGTCCAAACTACCTTTTCCCAAGGTGTCTCTACGTATGTTTAGAGCTGGCTTATCATAGCAGATTTAAAGTGCAGCAATGGTAAAATAATAATTATTATTATAATAATTTTTAAAAAAAGGTTGTT